GGGGGTGTTTTTTAAAAAGTTTTCGTGTTTTTCCCCCCCTTGATTTTTTTTTTTTTTGGGGTTCGTCTGGGGGTTGAATTTGGCCCCAGGGGGTTGTTTTGGTTTTTTTTTTGTTCTTAGTTTAAACCTTTTTCTCCGGTTCGGGGGGGTCCCCCTCTCAGAAATGGGGGGAAAACCGTTGAAAAAAAAAAATGGTGGAGGACGGTTTGGATTTTTTTTGAAAAGTCGAGGGGTTTTTCTTTTCCCCGGGGAAAAAAACCCCCAAAAGCCCTGCAAACCCTGGGGGTCGCCCCCCCCCCCCCCCCCCCCCTGCCATAATCTATCAACTATGCAAGGGAAAATGTCGAATAAAAAATAACAACAACGCACATACACAAGTACCACAACACAGGACCACCACAATGACGAGAGCAGAAATGGCGAAACAAAAAAAGAGAAAAGCACGCACAGGATGAAAAGCAATAGGCATGATCACGTGACATGAAACATCGGAGGAGGGCGGGCGTCAGAATGGCAAGAGAACATCAAGCACAGGCGAAAATAAGACAAGCACGCACATAAGCACACACAAACGTAGAAGAATAGGAACGACAACGAGACACTGAGAACAGGAACACCGAGGAGCAGAAAAAAAACGGCGAAAAAAACGGCGAAAAAAACACGCAAACGAAGAAACAGAAAAGGGACAACAACGACAAATGTATTCCAACGAGAACGAGAGGGGAAAAGACTGAGAAACGACAAGAACAGTGACGGTTAGACCATTGAAAAAAAAGCGGACACACACACGCAAACTAAGAAACAGAAAAGGAACGACAACGAGACAGGTATTCCAACGAGAACAAGAGGGAAAAAAACTGAAAAAACGACAAGAGCAACGACGATGGCAACAGGAACACTGACACCGGCGTCTGCTAGCGCGGTCGATGCCAAAAAAACAAGAACACACAAGCACACACAAAAAGGCGACAGGAACGAGGAACGGGAAGAAAAAACGAGAGAATGACGAAGAACAACGATGGTGCAACAGAGACGCAACCACAAAAATGATTTAAAAAAAAAAAAACATAAAAAATCTCACCGCTGCGCCGTCGTTACCCACCCCGCCCGGCGGACATGACGCCTCCAAGTGTGCCCACAGGGAAGGGAGCACCAAGGCCACGGCAGAGATCTGTTTCTCGACAGCGAGGGCACGCGGGTAGGATAACAGGCGAAACGAACGAAGCCCCAAGCGGAGACGTAGGGTCAAGCCTCTTGAGGTGAGTTTTTCGGGTGGCCGGGGCATGTGTTGTCGTCGTCGGCATGCACGCAACAAAAGCGGCGGGGTCATGGTTAGGCTAGGCTAGTGCAGCAGGGAAGCCATGAAAGTGGCGACAACGGCAGGATCGACTGCAATGGCGCAAAGAAGAACAGAAAGAGAACGAGAACATAGAGAGCAGCAACAACAACAACAACCTCAGCAAACACGACAACAATAACAGCAGCACCACCAACACCACCACCGCACCGCCAATAAACAACAGATGGCATCGGAAACGGCGACGACAAGCCAAATAGAAACGACACACCACAACCAGCACCACAACGAACACCACCACCACCACCACCACCACCAACGACCAACAGACTACTCACCCCCGGCACGACGGCAAGCGGCCGCTCCGGGCACAGCGCGATCGCCGATACCCCAGCAACCAACACGGCGGCCGCCGCCAGGCACGAAGCGGCGGCATCGTCATCAACAACACCCCGCCGTACATCTCCTGCTGCCGTCGCCGCCGCTACCGCCGCTGCTGGTGCTGAAGCTTCCGATCGCCCGAACTCTTCTTCCTCAGCACCAAACGTGTGCAATGCTGCTGCTAGCCCCGCGCGTCGCCTCGATCCTGCCGCCGCCACGGTGATCTCCGCGGGACTGTGGACGGGACTGTGGACGGGACTGTGGATGGGACTGTCATCCCCCGTTCCTGCTGCTTCCAGCAGACCTCCTTCTTCGTCGAAGTCGTTGTCATCTACGGCAGCCGCTTCTGCCACCGAAGTTGCTGCGGCCGCCGCCGGGTCATTCCTTTCTCCCTTGGTCTCTTCTCGGCTTCCTTCTCCAGCTGACCCTGCCGCTGCTGCTGCTGCTGCTGCTGCTGGTGCTGCTGAGGTTGCTGTTGCTGGCGCCGCTGTTGATGGCGATGCTGGTGCTGGTGCTGCTGGTGCTGCTGGCACCGCGGCGGCCTGCATCATCTCCTCTCTTTCTCGTCCCCCTTCCAGCAGGACCGCCGTTTCTGGGGCCGATGGACAGGCAACGCTTGCCTGATACGTTGATAACGAAGTGGACGACGAGCGAGGGCGGGTGGGCGGGAGGTTGAGTTATTGTGGGAGGGGACGGAGAGAGAGAGAGGGAGAGAGGTGGGGACACAGGGCGAGAGAGAGGGAAGGAGAGGGAGAGAGAGAGAGACAGACAGAGAGACAGACGTAGAGACAAAGAGACAGACAAGAGACAGAGAGAGAGAGAGGCAGAGAGAGAGAGAGTGGTATCAGCAGCCAACCAGAGAATATCCGAAGAAGCGGGAGTGCTGTTTAGAGTTTGCCGAAGGAAACGAAAAAAAAAAAAACTAACCCTAACCCTAAGAGTATTTCCGACGCAGCACTTCCAACTGGGCACGAAGCGGACGCTGCTGTGGCAACAACCATGTTGGCAGCAGGACGACTGCGAACGTTTTATTGAGCGCACGTTGTCTTCTTTTACGTCTGAAGAAATAAACGAACCAGAAAAAAAAAAAAATGTACCCGTGTCCCCGATGCAGCGGTACCGGCCGGAGAAGAAGCGGACGCTGTTGTGGAGGCGAAGGCTCGGCCGAGGCCCCAGGCAACAACCACGGAGGCCTGCCTGAAGTAGACCAACCAAAGAGGCGCGTTGGTCCAGCAGTCAGTCAGTCAGTGAGTACGGAGGGGGTATACTCATGATCATTGAGGGAGGGTAGGAGGGTATGGGTTACCTTCCATGCTTCACGAATACTGGAAGGCGCATGTACTGAACTCGCCGAACAAATATTGCACACAGCAGCACCACTACCAGCACCACCAGCAACAGAAGCACCGCGGCCCGCGGTAGCCGCCGCCGCCGCCGCCTCCGCCGCTGCAGCGTCGCCATCACGACCTATCCTACGTTGCGAAAAACCAAAAAGACCAAGAAAGAACCAGCGTAACACAAAAAAAAAATCACGCGTGCTCCCAAAAGCAAAGCATTGCACCTACCGCAGCAGCAGTTCAGTCAAAAATCAACTGACACACCTCAGAGCCGACCAGAAAACGCCTAAACCAGGGGACGGAGCCCAATCATCCCCCGTCCACGGGGACCCGGTCAGCAGCACCGTGAGGAACAGGAGCCCGCCAAACCCCGCCGATGCCACCAAGCTCTCTAGGAAACCCGGGGATGGCTGAGAGGCGTCCCGTCCCTGCCACCGCCGCCGGGGTATCGGCAGTGGCGGCGAAGACGGCCGGGAAGATGGCGGGAAGAGTCCGTCTGCCGCCTCTGCTGCTGCCGCTGCCACTGCCTCTGCTGCTTTTGCTGCCGCTGCTTCTGTTGCTGCCCCTATGCCTGATGCCCCTGGCGCGATCGTCTCCGTTGGCGGTGCCTTTGCGGGCGAGGGTAGTGCTGACGTTGCCATTGGCATTTCTCGCCTCTGCGGTCGTCGCTGCCGCGGTTGCCGCCCGACGCCCCTTTCATGGTCCTCCCCACCTCTTCTCCGGAACCTAGCCACCGCGAGCTCGAGCCCACCTCCGTCATCGCTTTCGCCTCCACCACCACCACTACCACCACCGCTAAGAGCGGCACTAGCCGCTGCAGTTGCAAAAGCGGTGCTGCAGTTGCCCCCTAGCGGGCTGGGCCGCTGCCGTTCAACGTGTTGTCGTGTCTGCTGCCGCTGCCGGGTCTGTAGCTGCTGTCGTTCAACTTCTTGGTGTTGCTCTTGTGTCTGCTGCTGCTGCTGCTGCTGCTGCTGCTGCTGCTGTTGTTGTTGCTGCTGCTGCTGCTGTCCCGCAAGCCCCCCCTCCTCGAACAGCCTCAAGTAGCGCCAGGAAGCACTCCCGGCGGAAAATCGACGCCCCCGACCACTACAACTACTACCGCGGCTGGAACGCCAACAATGGAGAGGAGGAAGAGGCACAAACCAGAGCCCCAGCAGCAAGAGCGTCGGCAGCAGGAGACTTTGGAGGAAGCGGACAACGGGGGAAGGGGGATAGAGCAGCCCCGCCCCTAGGCGAAGCACTAGCGCGAGGTGGTTCCCCGCGACCAGGCTTTTTTTTTTTTTTGTCGTTTTTTTTTTTCAAAAACAACATGTTTTTTTTCGCGTGAGATTTGTTTGGGAAGGGGGGTGGTCGTCGTGAGTGGGAGACAAGGGGCGAGAGAGTAGGCGGGGGCAGAACGCCATAGAGGGGCACGCAGACAGCCAAGGATAGGGAGGGAGGGAGGGAGGGAGGGAGGGTGAGAGAGAGAGAGAGAGAGAGAGAGAGAGAGAGAGAGAGAGAGAGAGACAGACAGACAGACAGAGAGAGAGGGAGAGACCGACAATCAGTCAGACAGGCAGAGAGAGGGTGGGGTAGGGAAACGAAAGAGAGCGGCAAGGAGCAAGGAGTAGCAGAAAGAGAAGTGAAGAAAAGCGCAGAAAGGGGGGAGCAGAGGTCGACTTAACGAGGCAGGTGAACTGACAGTGTGGAGCACAAGGGGAGGGAACGAAGCAGGCAGAACATCTGTGGGCCACGCAAACAGGATGAGGGACGTGCGCATGCCCCGCTACGCTATCATGCCGCAATAGCACAGCAGTTGTTGTTGTCGATAGGACAATACTACCCGGCAACAACTTCAAGCATACCGTATCTGTGCACCATACATGAACACTAAAATAGCAGGCCCCCAGTTTCGAGATGTCGTCCTAAAGCTTCGGAGTGATAGAACAATTGAAACGTGCTGCTCGCCGGACAGAGGGCAACTTCCCAGAGTTGCCCGGCACGCAAGGCGACCGTGAGCTGTGCCTGCTACTATCGCCACCACCGCTGCACGTGTACGTACACACACACAGCCTGGGGATAGAGGGCGTTGTAGTAGGGATTTTTGGTAAGGGTTGGGTTGGGGCTTAGGGTTAGGGTCACGAACCCCCCGTCTCTATTTCACATATAAAGCTTGCATGGTTCTATAAAAGTAAGGGTTAACCCCCCCCCCCCCCCCCGTCTTTGGCCAGAAATGGCTTCGGAGGAACTTAAAATACCCCGAGGTAGTCATGACGAGTCTTTTTTTGTTCT